AATATATTTTATATTTTTGAGACACTAAAAACCAAGAAATCCCATGGCCATAGCCACTGCATAGCGTTCCCAAATAAAGTCTAAAAGCCTATTTTGATTTGAGGAGAGAGAAGGGGAAGAGGAGAAGTTTCCCTATTTGGATAAAACAATTTTTATGGGAGTGGAGGGGCTTTCCCTTTGCGCATTTTAGTATATCTAGATGAGGGAAAGGAATGAGAGGGGATTGGGGATCTCGGGAAGGAAATGGTAGGATATTGTCCTCCCTCCTCCTTGTTTTAATTTCTTAAACTAAACATACTCTAAGTCTTTAAAATGATAAACTTGTGATGCAGAGTAATGTCACATTAAAATATATCTTTTATTTACATTTAATTTAAAAGTAAATAAATAATTAAACTCTTTTACATGATATTAACACTTTAAGGTGTTGTTCAAATGGTAAAGAGTTGAGAAAGGGTTTGATATAAGGAATTAAAAACTATTCCTATTTACCCAAAAATGTAGTATTTAAACCCAAGGGTTGTATCTTGCTGGTAATTATAAGCACCATCTTCTAAATCAAATTTAGTGTCTAAGTTTAATTTCTTTATTGCACTGTATTGATATAGGGGTGTACTCTTGTTTAGGAACGACTTTTTATTTTTAGTAATGTTTAAGGGAGAAATTAGTTTTAAGAACATATAAACTAGCCTGAAAATACTTTACCATTTAATAAAAGGCTTTTCTAACTTTAGATATATTTATTATACTTTTTTATTTTTAATTCATTTGAAAAATTATAAAAATATTTTATTTTCAACATTAATATTACATGAAATATTTTAATTTAACCGTTGATAAAAAATAAAAATAATTTTTTTTATACAAATTAATAATAAAAATATAAAATATGCACCTTAAAACCCTACCATAAGAGTACAAGTTGTAAAATTCTCGGAGTATCAATTTGTAAAATAATTTCCACTTAAAAATATATATATTAGGGGCTGGGGGAGGAAAAAAAAGGAAATTACCTAAAACTTTTTAGAAAAAGAAAGAATGATATAGATATTAATATATAGGGTTATAATTAGGTGAGACTACACTGAGGAGGAGAGCAGCGGAAGAATATGGTAGGTAACCAATGTGGTCACTACTCGTGGGTGTTTGACCTTTATTGCATAGGTCAACGAGTGGGGTCCACCGGCATGCGCGCGTGCGAAGACACCTGGGTCCCACACCGCACCCACGTTGCCGTTTCTCTACGAGTCAGAGCCCCCCGAAAGCGACCCTTATTTATCTCCTTGCCTTAATCCTAATTTCTTCAACCCTAATCATTCGCCCCCACCACCCCCACACTTTCTTTAACACGTTGCCGCCTTCTTATGTTTACTCCTACTCATTGCTAATAAAATCCTTTTGTGGTTTTGACTTTCATCAATTTAATAGTATTTTTTTTTTGTTAAAATTAATTTTGATTTTAATGTCGTTCTCGTCAATGGTAAGGCAACTTTCACCTAAAAAAATTATAGATTTTTTAAACGTATACTTTTAATGCTTTAGAGACATCTATGAAAGATGTATTAATAATTTTATTAATTATTTAATTAAAATTTTATGTGTTATTGATGTTTAAAAATAAAATTAAGTTGTCAACAATTTAAATAATTCAGTAATAATTTCTTTTCGTTAAAAATAAGAGATTTTCAATTTGACTCACATTGCATACGGGTAGAGTGAGATAAAGGAGGGAGAGGGTTCATTATGCAACCAACATAAAAAAATAATAATAAAAAAATTAAATTATTTTTTTATTTTTTATACTAATTATTGAAAAAATTAATTGTAATCAATATACTTTTAATTTATTAATCGTACTCAAATAGATTCTAAATTATAAATAATTATTATTATTAACTATTAAATATTAACTATCAATTATATTTAAATAATTAATTTAAACATTCTCTTCCTAAGTAAAGGTATAATTTTTTGTTTGTTTGAATATACAAAAATTTAGAGAGAGATTTTTTTATGACTACAAATGTAAAGACGACTCTGTTCAAAGTTCAAACCCTGATCAAAGTCAGAAGTAAAGATGCTTTCCCACTGGAGCTAGGCGATCGATCGAGCCAAAGCTGCAAGAGCTGTATGGATTGTAATTGAAGACTATACACAATACAATGAAATCGCAATGAAATGTACGTATTGGAATTGAGAGAAAAATGCAAATTAATTGGGAAATAATTTTATTTTATTTTTTATCTTAATTGTACATTAAGAGATAATTATCTTTCATCTTTTATTATATCACACTTGCATATCATGCGATTCAAAATCAGAATCTATTACTTTCAGTAGAAAAAAATAATCACTGAATTACTTATATCGTTGATGAGAAATAATTTTATTATTATGCGTATAGAGCAATGCTATCAGCACTCGCTTTTTGCACTCTCCGGCCAACACTTCCTTTTCATTGGGCCACGTAAGCTTCCTTAAAGCTTTCAGGCGCAACTTCACGGCAGCCAAGATAACGTGGCCCAATAAAAGGGAAAGTGTGGACCAGAGAGTGGGAAAAGCGAGTGCCCCTAGCATTGCTCTACGCGTAAATTGTGCCAAGTTTTGTTGGAGGCAGCAACATCATGTCATAGTCATCAACAACCTAGTTCGATTCATGTTACCCATATCATGTCCTAATTAAGTACCATGTTCTTATACAAGTGGCTGGTTTCATATCCTCATCAATTTTCGTGCCTTGACATCAACATTTTCCCCAACCACAATTTTTTTTTTTTTTTTGGCATTATCACCGTATATATTCTTCAACAACCAAATGATATTTAAAAACAAGATTAAAGTGCTAATGAAGTATATATGGTCCTCTAACTTCCAAATTTTAAATTTGATGTTATAGTTTTGTAGTACTAATTATATAATTTAACTTTTCGAATGTATGAATTAATAAAAAAAAAAATGCATATAATGATTTGAACATAAATATATGTAGTGGTGATGATTATACCCTTACCAAACTTCGCCAATCATTCGAGTTCGAATTGGGTAATTAATTTAAAACTAACTATGATTATGTATAAACAAACTTCTTAAGAAAATTTCCTAATTTACTATTTACATTATGTAAATTTGATGATGTTATGGTGATGTAAGCTTGTGGTGTGCTAGCTGACAAAGATGAAAGGCCCCTCCAAGTGGAAAGCACAGAGAAAGAAAATTTAGGGGGGGAGACAAAGCCACACGAGTGAAGGACTCCCATGTATACAAAAGCTGACCTTTGTGGGTCTTCTTATTAAGTCCCTCAATGAGAAATGAAATTTACTCATGGTCAATGTGTTTCTTAATTTAAAGAAAAATTTTACTTTGGTGCTTGATTAAAGAAATTCAATATTGTTCTTGCATGCATATACATAAAAAAAAAAAAAAAAAAAAAAAAAAGGCTGGAAAATTGAAGGCAATTTTGTCTGTTATATGTGCTTCATGCATTGTTGTTGATATAAGTTAAAAAGAAAGACTATTACTGATAGCCTTTGTTCTGTATGAAGAAATGCATGTGTGAAGCACATGCTTCAGTTCTGATATTGCAGTGTAAACCATCATGCAATCAATGTTGTTGGGCAAGAAAGGCTTTCTTCCTTCTACTCTCTATGCAGCCTATTAAGAGTATTAATTCCTTTACAGCACTAGTTTGGCCGAACTTTTGCATCAAGTTTTCTAATCTAGTATAGAAGCTTAAACTAAGTTAAATTGGAATTTTCATAGAAGTGCTTTCACCTTTTCGAGGAATATCTTTTACACCTTCTAAAGATTAAAAGATGAAGCTACAGAGTTATTGGCTTTGTTTGATTTAATTGTAAAGAATAGTTAATAGTTATTCGCTCCAAACATAACAAAAGTATCTAAATTCTAAACCTTACAGTCAAATATTTCTTAGTAACTAAACTAAACTCAACAGAGGGATAGTTATTGTGAAGAGCCTTTTTGCATGTGAACTTCTGAACATAGACTTTCCTGAGAGTTGACAAATATGGACTAAGAGGCGTATGAGAGCTGTGGGTCACATGGAAGACTAGATCACAGCATAACAATGATCATTATTCATTGCCCTGGATTCTTTTTTTCTGGCAAATTCACATTTTTCTTTCAGAAAAGTTGGTGTTTACATTCAAAATTTTTTTTAACTTGATAAAGCATTTGATCATAGGGTACTGATCCCAAGGGTTCTGCAAAAGACTATATTGCAATGCTCTTTTAGCCAATGGGTGCAAAAGTAAGAATAAGAAAACATTAAGTCCTTTGAATTTTCAGATTAAAGATTTTCTGCTTTCTCTGTATTCTATTCTTTGCACTCTGAGCTAAAAGAAAAAGAGATGGGGATTATTAGATTGAAGAATATCATAAAGTTGTTAATCATGATTAGTTTGTTATTAATACATGTTAAGCTTTTCTATATACTAATGCTGTTTACTCAACCGAAAATCTCTAATTAGTTCTTCTATTCAAAGATTCTGCACTACTCAGTAGTCCATCCAATTTTTTTTTATAGATATTTCAAATGAATATTCTAGAATTGGTTGCTTAAAATTTCTGAAATTCTTCCTTGTATAAGAAGCATCTAATTCATCATCATCCTCATCATTATTATTATTAATTTTCCATTTTTTAGTTATATATACACTTATTTCATTATCACAAATATAATAGTTGTTCATTCATAACATTTTAAACATGAGTTTTTTAAATCCATACCCTTAATCAAATTTACACTTACTAACAAAAAAAAAAAAAAAAATTAAGGATGAAATTATACATACATCATAGGGTTCCAAAAGTGAGTCCATTGAGTATTTTAAGAACTTGTGGACAATAACATTATATATAGTTCAAGATGAGAGGAGCGTTTTGGCTCTCTTTCTCTTCCAATTGAAGCTCCTCAATGTGACCATTCGATGAAAAGCATAAAAGCAACACTGATGGCATCTGCACATACATTCCTCCAATTCTAAATGAAAATAAATTTATTATAAAAACTGAATTTTAAAAAATATACTAACACTGAAAGTAAGAGAAGTGGGCCACTCTCTGACTTCCACTAACATATTCCAAACATAAAAACAAATTAAAAGTGAGATTTCCAATCAAATTGACATCCCCACACACTCTCTGCCCCATTCAAAAATTCAATTATTCCTTCAGTTTTCTTTCTTTATTTCTTTCTTCTTCTTCTTCTTTTGCTTTCCTCTTAAACTAAAGCAAGTGCCAACTCTATTCACAATATGGCAATAGAGAATACAAAAGCTCTTTCTACCAACTTTCTTTCTTGTGCTCACTTCGGCTATATATTAACACTAAAATGTTTGTCTAAACTAAGCTTTAAAGGCTTTTTTTTCCCTTAAATCAGGACCTTTAACCAAATCCTAATCATAATTCTTCAATTATTACAACAATTAATATGCTTCTTCAATGGTCCCAAATAGTGACCAAAACCTGCATCACTTTGCTTGTTACTGGCCCAACGATGGTCTCTTCTTTCCTTGAAGGGGTCATTTCCATTTCTTTCCCTTTTAAATTCTCTCTTCTTCTCCATCCTGGCCGGACAAGGCAGTTATGTTACCTTCTTTTTTCCTGTTCTTTTCTCACCCCTTCCTATCATCCCCAACGAGGTTAGGGTTTATGATAAGATAACATGTAGACTTAGCTACTTGCAGGTAGAATCAGTTCTTGATGTCTTGATTTCAATGAATCAACACCATTTCCCTTTCTCCTCTACCTGAATGTTCCTCCAAATGTAGGGGTCCAAAAATCAGCACTTGTCTCATGGGTCACCGGAAACGTGCTCGATACCGGTACCAAACATAGCCCTCTACTTCTCAGATCTTGCTTTGGTCCTTCAGGATCCTTAGACTTATCTGAACACTGCATTATTATAATTCATCATCAGTTACAAGAAGGATGATCCATGTATGTTTTGATATATGCAACCCAAAAAGGAGAATAAATGTTGCACCTGTTGATGTTGTATTGAGGCTCCACTTTTCATGTATGGAGTACTCAAAACCTGAGAACATTATGTGCCAGAATTCAGAATGGGAACTGTGTAACTGTCTTTATAATTTTATTGTGGCATGACAGGAATCTTTATGGGACTTACAGTGACTTGTTCATGGAGGAACTTAATGTATTCAATGACTTCAGAGAGCACTGAGGCAGTATCAGTCTACACATGAGTAATAAAAACCATGAATAAAAGACAATTTTGTAAGCTTTCATGAAATTAGCATCAAAATCATGTCGCTGCACGTTGCCCTTTAAGAAAATAAAGCAGAACTGAGAAAAAAAAAAAAACTTACTTTTCCGAAAGGTGAAACCATTTGTTGGAGTGCAGTGATTCTGTCTCCCATCTTCTCCTTCCTCACCTATGAATACACATCAAAGTTACATGAATTCTCATCCATGTCCAACAATGAAAAACACCCACAAAATAAAAATGTAAAAGCTTGAAGCTTCACTTTCCTTTGATTGTACCTTAAAAGCTGGCAAAGGTGATGGACCCGTTTCATTTCGTGTCCTTTTGGATGCGGGTTCGCTGCCACTTTTCTTTGTAGCAGTGCTTGATGTGTCCCGAACTTCGGATATATTCTGCTGGCATGATTGAAACTAAGAGAAGATTAATTTCTCAAACCCTAATTGTCAAATACAGGCAGTATAGGAGATGATGCCTTCTCGGAGTAGGGATCTTGAGCAGGTGATTCGAGCTGAACCTGTTAAGGTAACGAGAATTTGTAACACAGGAAGACGCCATAGCACACTCTTACGTCCACTCGGCGTTGCAGAAATCTCAACCGTCTTAACAGGTCAAGCTCGGGTCACCACCAGCATGTGATTATGGATCCTATATATCCGAGAGGGCATATAATGAATACATTACCTTGGGTTTCTCTTCGAAGCTTGGGGAAGGAAACTGGGTCTGCAACGAGGGGAAGGTCGGGCGGGTGTCGCTAATGGAGGTGGCCAACGGATTCCAGAACGGAGCATTGTTGGAGAACTGCAGTTGACTGTGGGGAGACTGTTTGGTTGGGGAAGTTCTCAAGAATGGAGGGACTTTAGACCAAGATGGGAGGAATTCATTAGGGTTAATGGAATACCCCGTTCCATATTGGTAATTCATCGAACGGGTTTCAAACGAAGATTGCTGTGCTTGATTTTCTGGTACCAGAAGTCCCTGGAGAATCGTCGACTGGCTGCCGTATAACGCCGGTGAATCCATCTGGAAACTAGTAGTACTGTCACTTGAACTTCCGTAGGGTTGATCCAGAGAGAACCCTCGAGGATTGATTTGCTTGAACTCGTTCACGGCCGAATCCGATCCCACCCCGGAAAACATTTTCTCTGTCCTCCAATGAAGTTGCGACGACGATCCTATCCCAACACCCACGGTTTCTGGAACCATCGATCGGAATCCACTTTCCGGTTTATCCCCGCGACTACCAAACACCAAAAAATTCAACCACTTGATGATTCCATGTATGAATTTTCAAAGCCGAGTAAATGATGAAGATGAAAGCAAACAAGAAAAAAGTAAACAACTTACAGTAAAGTAGCTTGGTTCCAGTCCATGGATTGTGAGGACAGCCCCAAACCCATCATCTGAAACTCACCAGCAGCGGCGGCCGCAGCAGCAGCAGCGGGATCTGACCCACTTGCTTGCAGCTTCTGGGTATCATGAAAACCCACCGAACCACCCGAAACCGACCCGGAATCCATAGAAGTCCTTGATTTCATATCCACTATCTCCGTTGGCCAACCAAAGCTTCCCATGTTGAGCCCAGAAGAGGAAGAAGAGGAGCCGGCATCAAAGCGGTTGCGGGAGGAAGAATCCCAAAAGTTGGTGCCTGAATTAAACTCATCGGCCATCTCTAAAAATATGATGATGAGGAGATATCACAATGATTCTTTGGCTCTCTCTCCCTCTGAGACGTTTCCGGTTCAGATTCTTTATGGTTGCATAAAATGATGGAAAACGAGCCGCTGCATTTCTGGGTATATATATAGGATATGAGGCGCTGTACACAGGTGAAAGATGAAGTTAGTAACCGAAATGTGGTTGACATTTCAGGCGCCTGATTAGACAAGGGAAAGGTCAATTGCAAATTTCATTTTTTTTTCTTAATTTTTTTTAATTTTTTTTTAATTTTTAAAATATACTTGTAAGTAGTTACAGTACATGTATATTACAGATTCCCTTCATCTCGTATCTTGTATAAATACAAATCAATGACCAAAAATTACTACTGTAGTAACTAAAATAATTAGTTTGTAATAAAAGAAATTGAGGCCTCCATGTAAGCAATACTGACCCGTTGATGTAGATGCTGCCGAGACTTGTGTAGTGTCCTTGTGCGAGTTTTAGGCTAACTTTTTTCTTTAGTTTTTTTTTTTTTTTAGCAAATTACAGTTATTTACATATGTTAATTAGGTAATAAAGAAAGAAAATTTAGCAAGACTCAAATACACAATCCACAAGAGATGAATAACCCTAACCTAAGGTCTATACTTTTGAGTCGGAATGGACTGTTAAACTTTTTTCTTTAGTTTTTAATTCTCTTTCTTTTGTTACTTTTAATTTAATAAAAATGCGTTTTGCAAGTCGGGTCATATAACTATAATTAGATGAGAAAGGGTCTTATAAGTCTTTATCTAATTGTTTTTTTTTATTAACTTTTCGATTTTCAATAATCACATTAAGTCTTGATTAATTCAGAATTAATCGCATCAGATTCCATTAAAAAATTACAAGTGCTATTAATTGTTTATGTTTTGTAATATAATATAATTTAAATGGTAAAATAAAAAATTCTTTACTTAACCATTTTGAATTTCCTATGTTTTAATTTTAGTAAGTATTTTTTAAACTGCCTTAGTTTTAATTTAGTTGTCTCATTTAATAAATATAGTGTTTCAATTTATCTATCTTAATTTTTATTTATACAGGACCCTAAATGTTAGTGCCCCAAATGATGACTTAACTAGTTTATAAGCAAAGATTTTAAATTAAAAATTTTAAATTCGAATCTTAAATTAAGTTAAGTGGGGAGGATTTTGGAAAAAAGGGATAGAGGGTATAGCCCTCCAATTTTCTCAAATCTTTCCCCACCTAACTCAAGATATTCTCTCTTTTTTCTTTTTTCTTTTTTTCTTTTTTGTATAGTTTATTATTAGATATACTATAAAAATGTTAAATGTTAGTATTATTCTAAAGGACAATTGTTAATATACATTCTGATTTAATACATTACATAATATATTCATTAAAAAATCATTATTTTTTATCTAAAATTAAAAACAGATAAACTTAAAGAAATAGTTATGCATACAGAATATAAAAACCAATTAAATCAATTATAATTATATTATATTTTAATAGTTGAACCGAGATGAGTGTTAGAAAATGTGCAGAACCGAATTTGTACCAATGATTTTAATATTATAAACTTATTCTCATAACTCTGGTCTATTTATAAAGATGAAAAAGTTTTTATTAAAGATAAATGTGTTATTTTAACACTTAATTATGAAATTTTAACTAATCTGAAGATTGTTCATATAGGCAGAACCTCCAAATTTGCCTATTAAATAAGAGGGTAGAGATAGATCCACATTTAAAAAGAAGAAGAAGTAAGAACAAATTGTCTTCTAAATTATTAATCAAAATAAATCACTTATTATTTAGCATGTGAATCACTTATTATTTAATATTTGGTCATTACATGTCAATATTCACTTGTTGCCTAAGTATGTTTTTAATGAAAAATTAATGCATAACAATATTACAAGTTAAATAATAAATAATTTTTCTTGATCAATAATTTAAAAAGATAATTTACCTTTATATTTTTTTCCTTTGGAACAAATTTGGGGTTTAGCCATTCACATATGTGAACGTCCTATTCATATACGTATAAAGTCAAAATACCGACAACTAAATGAAACGGTGGGAGAACGTTTTTCTTGCAACAGTCATTGCATAATTTGAGGCAGCATGGCAGGAAGTCAAGAGTAATTAAAAATTAAGAAATTTCCTGGAATTCACTTTCTCTTAATTTTTTTTCGTCTGAATTGAATCACAACAGACACGTTGGGAGAAACAAATAATGATAAATGAGACTAAGATTTAAGACCAAATTTTGAAATTAATAATATGATTTATGTCATGTTATTTAAAATATTAAA